CCTTCCTCCCTCCCTCCCTCCCTCCCTCCCTCCCTCCCTCCCTCCCTTCCTTCCTTCCTTCCTTCCTTCCTTCCGGAAATGTCCTATTTTAGATGTTGAAATTTAGACCAGCCTTCACCCAACTACAACACATTCAACACACTTAAAATATGTTGAATTGCATTTGTACATTTGCAAATCCTGTGTAACTGGGCAGGAAGGATGTTTTACACCAGGGGTCCTCAATCTTTTTGATTCCACGGACCGCCAGTGGCACTGGTGGCAGCTTCAGTGGTTTCAGCGGCAGTGGGAATGGTTTTTGCGCAGGCAACCTAAATCACCCACTGCTTCGGGGGCCCAATTCCCAATGGGCCGTGGACTGGTTGAAGTCTGTGGCTCGGAGGTTGGGGACTGCAGGTTGGATCCTGCTGATAAAAACAGGATCGCCAACATGATCGCCAACATCTGATAATGGATATGGCACAAGAAGAAGAAGAAGTTGGGTTTAAGAGGCTGTTATTTCAACCTTCCTTCCTATGCCCATTCCCTTTTCACCCTTATCATTGTAATTTGTCATTGTTTGCATTTTTCTCTCTTTTTATTTTATTCCCCAAGGGCATGGTTGAGAAGTGGCTGTTACAGGTGGAAGAAATGATGTTAGCCAGCATTCGGCAAGTCATGGAAAATGGCATCAAAGGGTACGATGAGGTGAGCAGCTAATCGACAGATGCTTTGAGGAGTTAATGGCACCCACAGCCTTAGCAACACAATCAGACAAAAGGGGACAAGATGCAGATGTGCTTTTACACGTTGGATCTATTATTAAGAGCTGTGTCTTCTAAGCACCATTATATTTTCTGAAACCGCTGTCCACGCGTTCTCGTTTGCAGATTTGTGGATTTATGCATCTGATTTGAAAACTTGGAATGTGCTTTCGAGCCCTGTATGAGCTTGAAGAAGAAAGCTGGACTTTTCACTTTAAAATGCCCCATTTGGGGAGAAGGGAACCCCTAAGATTTTGAGATTTTGGGAGGCACAAGAGGTGGGACAGTGATACCAAATTGCAGGGCTACTGTTTAGTTTTTTAAAAAATTGTTGAAAATAGAGAATAGGAAAGCCTGTTTTAGGGCTTAATCAACTGTTTTTGCTAGTGCCTCTCTGCCCCTTATCAAAACAGATGTTGATGCTCCGTAGCTGGAGAAAGTGCAAATATTATTTCTTGTGTATTTGTTTTTTAGGTTCCTCGCAAAGCTTGGGTGCTGCAGTGGCCGGGACAAGTTGTTATTTGTGTATCTTCAATCTTCTGGACCAAAGAAGTATCAGAAGCCATAACGGAAAACTCTTTACCTGTAATTTCACTCACACCCTTTAAATTTCCAGATAGAGCAACTTTCCCCAGTCTTCTAGATAGGTTGGGACTACAATTCCCAGAATTCCTCAGCTGTTGCTTGGTGATGGCTGGTATGTAGAGATTGTATCAGACTGCACAATATTAATGGCCTTCCTATCTAGATAGGAAATGTTCAGATTTGGGATTGTACCGGTAGTCCTTGACCCAGGGGTAGGAAACCTTGGCTCTTTTATCCGTAACATGATTTTTTTTTTAAATATAACTCCTCTTCAAAATAAGAAAAAAATACTCCAGACTTTTTGATCTCTTTTGGGAATGTCTGGGAGCCTTCCCCCCCCCCATCCCTGATTAATGGGCAGGACGATGCTACCTTGAGGAAGAAGGCGCAGCCTCATTGTGGTGTCTCTGCTCCAGGCATTTTTGGAGAAAAGCAACAAGCAGATTGGGGAGATCGTGGAGCTGGTGAGAGGGAAGCTGTCCAGCGGAGCCCGTCTGACCCTGGGTGCCCTCACCGTCATTGATGTGCATGGTAAGTGGCAATGGGCATGAGGAAAAAGGATGCTGAAATATTTCTTCTCTTCAAAAGAGTGGAAGGGAGAGTAAGGAACATTATGGATGAGAAGAATATAGTAGAGTAGAGTAGAGAGTAGAGTAGAGTAGAGTAAGAGTAGAGTAGAGTAGAGTAGAATAGAATAGAATAGAATAGAATAGAATAGAATAGAATAATGGAATGAAGAGTAGAATAGAATAGAATAGAATAGAATAGAATAGAATAGAATAGAATAGAATAGAATAGAATAGAATAGAATAGAATAGAATAGAAAAGAAACAGGAAGAATGGAATGGAATGGAATGGAATGGAATAGAATAGAATAGAATAGAATAGAATAGAATAGAATAGAATAGAATAATTAGGATAGGATAGGATAGAATAATTGGAAGGGGCCTTAGAGGTCTTCTAGTCTAACCCTGTGCTCAGGCAGGAAACCCTACACCATTTCAGACAAATGGTTGTCCAATCTCTTCTTAAAATGCCAAGTAAAAGTTTGTTTCTGCAGC